TATTAGGTAAAGTACTAGTAACCAACTTTACTTTTCTTACTTAAGTACGTTAGTAGAAGGACCGACTCTTCCTACTACTCCACTAAACTACAACTTAGGTCGTCTCTCTCTCTCTCTCTCTCTCTCTCTCTCTCTAAATATTCAATCCATCACCATTGCCACTACCACTACCACTACACCACCGCCACCGTGTAGATAATCACTTACTCTATCACCACCACCCCTACAATCATCACTTCCTCCTCCACCACCACCACACCATTGCACCACCACTAAGCGACCGTTGCCACCACCATCACCACCTACCTGCCAGCACCACCACCACCACCACCATTACTGCACCATAACCACTGCTTATTGACCACCACCACCACAACCACTCCATTACCACCACCGCTGCCTCCATGACCGCTATGACATTGTACCACCACCATCAAAGTCATCACTATCACGACCAACATCACACTACATAGTACCTATTTATAGCTCAAATTTAACAACTAAACACTCATAAAGAGAGTGGTCGGCGGTGTATCAAAAAGCGCTAGACGGGTCCTAGGTGGTCTAGGACTCCAAGCCACCCAGTGGCTAGAACTTGGGCAGCTACCAATTTAAATTTGAAAAAATATAAAAACCATACCAAATTATTAATATAATACCATATTCCAAATTGAAAAAAAAGAGATGGATGTTGAGAAGAGAATTTGATAATCCATATTGTTAAAACAGTAAACTGTAAAACCATACAAGTGTAGGTAGGATTTAAAAGACAACACTTAACACAATAGAAACTTAGAAAATATACAGTATAACAAAAGTCAATACTCATGACTCAACGCAATAGTCAACAAACTCAACACTCAACATTCAGCACCAAGAGAGTCGTCGTCATCATCATCAGAAGAATATCAATAAAACAAGCCTCATCATATGCATCAGAGCCGAGGCCATCATCATCAGAGTCATCTCCCTCTCCAACATAACGCTCGTCCTCCTCTGTTTATTTTGAATCTGCCTCTTCTTCCTCCTCTTCTTTTACTTTCTTCTTACTAGTTTGTGCAGATGGGGCCTTAGGAGTCTTGGCTGCTCTAACCTTTTTTTTGTGCTTCTCTGAACTTAAATATTGTATAATTTCCTTTTTGGTAGCTGCAAGAACATTTTTACAAGGGGAAACATCCCCCTTAATACCCGTAAAGTGTTTTTTAAACTGATAAATGTCTCCATTAGTATCCTTTCCACAATAATTACATTTAATACGGTTTTTATCACCTTTATTTGGGTTATAACCATACTTCCAACCAGGATCACCACTCCGTCTAGAACCTGGAGAAGATACTTCCACAGAACAAGGTTTATTTTCATTCTTTTCTGGTTCTTCAAAATTCAGAAGATGTCTAATCTCATCCCGAACTGCTTTAGGAACTTTTATACAATAAGCAACATTACCTATAACACTAGCAATGTGTTTTCTGAATCGACTAATACCCCCATCGGTATTTTTTTTCATAAAAATTACACCTTATACAATTTTTATCATTTGGTTTTGAGTTGTACCCATACTTTCAACCCTGATCACTTTTTCTAGAATTAGCATAAATAGATCTATGATAAGGATTTTGTTCTTGTTTTTGTTTTACATAACTTATAAATTGCTTAATCTCCTCTCTGATAGCTTCAAGAACATATTTACAATAGGCAACATCCCCCTTAATACCAGCAAAATGTTTCTTAAATCGGTTTATACATCCTTTTGTAGCTTTTTCACAAAATTGCATTTAATGCAATTTTTGTCATTCGGATTCAGGTTGTATCCATATTTTCAATCCAGATCTCCACTCCGACTAACTCTTGTAGAAGACATCTCAAACTAAAATAAACAATCTAAAAGTTGCACTTACTTTGGTTGCTTGAATTCCAAACTTTGAGAAACACTTCGATGATTCAATCTAATGAAATGCAGTTTTTGGAGGTTTCTTTCTCTCTAAAAGGGTTTCTTGGGGTTTAGGTTTCAAATGAACCTAAATCTATCTTTTAAAACTTTTATATCTTAAAAAAAACGAAAAAAACAAAATTTTTTTGTCTGCCTCTGGGTAGGGCACAGGCCCTGGGCGGCCGCTCAGGGACCACCGCCTAGGCAGCTGCCCAAGGACCACCGCCTAGTTTGGCCGCCTAGACCTGGATGATGCACCCAGGCCTTTTGGACCGCCTAGAGCTAGGCGGTTCACTTTTTTGAACAATGGTGGTCGTGCATCTCTATGGTTGATATTTTTGTGAATCTTAGTAATGTTGTAAATAAGGGAGTGGTCATCATATTTCACCTCCTCAGATCTCTTTAAAGCTTAATTTTGATGGTAGCTCGATGGGTAATCCTGACTAGGATAAGAGGTTTAATTAGATATCATAGGGATATTGTGATCCTATCATACTCTAGTCCTTAGAGCAATATTTCTTCAAATGAGTTGGAGTCAAGGACCTTGCTATAGGAAGTGACACTTTACTTTTTGTTGCGTTTAGTTTGGGCGGTAATTTAATCCTGGAGGATGATTCACAAAAGGGTGTAGTTTGCATACGAACGCATCCGTAGGTGTAGAGGTAAGGGGCTCCTTCAAATTTTATCATGGTATATAATTTTGATGTGAAATGTTCTTAGGATTATCTCAAAATCTATTTTTATATCTAATTATAAAATTTTAAATTTAAAAAATAGTTAAAATCAAGTAGATCTATAAACATATGAAAATATTGAAAATGAATAGTGCAGATAATATGTTGTAAAATGCACTGCTTTTTAGATTTAAAATCTTTTTATTTTTCATAGTCATACATCTCGATGTCGAGATGATCAATCAAAGGTTTTTCAACATTAAAACTACTTTTTCCAATGGATTTTTTAGGGGCATCCGTAGTTCTACATTATAAGGTGGCATCCGTATCTAAACTTTTCCTTCATAAAATGCTATCAGATCGTGTTGTAGAGAGCAGACAGTGCCTTGAAAGTTAAGGTTGGTTTGGATGCACATTGTTAACCATTCTAGTTCATTGAGCATCTGTTTCTCCCATGTATATAAAAAAGCTAATGGTGAAGCGGATCATTGGGGTCATAGTGGTAGTAGCATTACTTGTGCCCCATTTAACGTTTAAGTTTTCATTATCACTTAAACACATTAAAAAACTACTATCGATTTAAAAAATGGGTAGGAGCTCATTATCCCCACTGAATTACCCAAGAAAAAAAAAGCGGATCCACTTGCCAAGTAGGGGGTTTCTCTCTTGGCTCTGTAACGTGGAGATTTGTAAGTTGCTTTCTATTTGCATTTTTTTAACTCCTTTTTCTAATGAGGTACTCTTTATCAAAAAAAAGAAAAGAAAAAGAAAAAGAAATCTTAATTGACCATTTGATTAAGGAAAATAGTTTGATAGGGTTGGAACCTATCAAAATTAATAAAGCCTCACCTCATAACTCATTGAAAATTGTAATTCAAACATTGAAAAACTTAGAAATCGATCATCTTGGCTTGAACATTATGGTTGTGAAAACAAATTCGAATTTCAAGCTCCAAAAATAGTGTGTATAGTAACAAATTATCTAGACTGTCTATTTTGGCCTAAAAATAAGTGTTCATAGATCCGTAAGATCTTTACCATTTTTTGAATTCTAAATTTCATTGTCGGTATTGAAAATTGATTTTAGAGCCATCCTAGAGATTTTCATTGTCAAAAGTTCTCTGTAGACGAAGATTTGAGGTGAGGCTCATTCTTTGGTTAATTACAAAAGACGCCATTCGATATACAATCAAAAGTCCCTACATTTTTTAAATGGATGAGGTTTCTATAAGGGCCTAGGTTTTTTGAAAACGAAATAAAGCTTCACCTCAATTCCTCATATGGAAAGCACTTTTGGCAACATAAATCTCTATGATGGTTATAAAATCAATTTCCAACACTGACAATGAAATTCGAAACTCAAAACATGGTAAAGATCTTGCGGATCTATGAACACTTACTTTTAAGGGGAAATGAATGGTATTGATAATTTATTACAATAGTGCCTTTTCGAGCTAGAAATCTTTTTTTTTTTTTTTTTAATACAACTATAATCTTCAAGCCAAGATAATCGATGTAAAAATTTTCTAACACTTGAATTGCAATTTTTGATGAGTTACGAGGTGAGACTCTACTTATCGTAATATGGCTGCAGCCCTATCAAGCCATTTTCCTTCTTAAATTTCTGACAGTATGTTAGACTTATGTGCCCTCTCTTTAAGTGAACGGCACAGATGGCATAATGGTGCGGCTGCAACCACACCATAATTGGGCTTTTTGATAAATATACTACTAAGGGCCTGGTTTGTATAGAGCCGTGGCTCTAAACAATCAAAGTAAAACACACCTTCTAATAGTGTCGAGAAATGTGGTTTCAATACTGGGAATCTTTGTGATAACCTTAAAATATATTTTCATTTTCAATTATAAAATTTAAAGTTTAAAAAATAATGTAGATCGAGCAAATCTATGAAAACTTAAAAATCTTGAAATTGACGACCCAAAAATGTGTTATGAAATGCACTATTTTCAGGACTTGAAATCCATTTTTTCTCATATCCATGCATCTTGATGTCGAGATGATCAATTTGAGGATATTTTAACATTAAAACAACAGCTTCTAGTGATATTTCTTGTGATATTTTTGAGGTTGACTCTAATTTGATTGCTTACAACCTCGGCTCTATATAAACTTTTTCCTAGTACTAATGGGCTAATTAATTTACTTCACTTTAATTCTTTGAATTATTGCAAAATCGTTTTCTATTTTTTTACCATAATAACGGTTAAAATGTGCTTTTAAACCAGGGTATGGTTTGTATACGGTTGAGGCCCTAAACATTCAAAATAAAGCGCACTTTTCCATAGTGTCGAAAGATGTTCAGTACCAAAAATCTTTGAAATGGCCTAAAAATTTATTTTTATTTTTAATTATAAATTTTAAAACTTCAAACATAGTGCAGATAGAAAAAATCTATAAACAATTAAAATTGACGGTCTAGATAACCTATTTCCAAGACTTGAAGTCTTTTTTTTATTTTTTACTTAGTGTCCATGTATTTCAAAGTCGAAAAAGTCGATGATCAAATTTGAGGGTCTTTCAAAATAAAAAAAAATTTATTATAATGAATTTTTGAGATGTGATTGTTTAGGGCCTCAACCTTATATAAAGGCTTTCCTTGTACTTAAAAAAGTGGTAGTTTGAGGGTAAAAATATGACAGCATGAGCACCACTACAAGCTCACTCATTGCAACACTGGATTTTACTTCAAACCAGCTCTTAATAATACGCACTAAAGCTTTCACTCCTACATTACGCTCCTTAGTAAAAAGGAGCCAGATATTACAGCAAACCCTCAAGTGGTAATACACAAAAAATTTCACCCAGATGCATGAACTAGGGCGTATATTATAGACTTAATCCTTCAAGTAAAACAACTACTTGGGAGGATTTTTTCAATCTAAAATCAGATGATTCCTTTCAAAGAGCAAAATTAGAATTTGAGTTCCTAAACACTTATGCCTTACCCTTAAAATATCGAAGTCTCTATTTAATCTTAAGACTCTTTTAAGGCACATACAAAGTACAATCTGATTCCTTCTCTCCTGGCCTCTTTCTCTCTCCCCTATTAGGGTTACTATCTAGTTTGAAGAGATTGCCGACCCCAAATAACTGGTATAAGGTTTGGATGGTGATGATCTAGTTTGAAGAGATTATATTCCCAAACTTCGGGGTAAAAAATTACTCCTAGATTAGGTTTTAACCAGGAGAGCAAATGGTCAATAGACTCCAGCATGAGCAAATCATTTAGCTTTCTGGATAGGATATTAGTGGAGAAAATGTGAAGGTCTATATTAAAAAAGATCCCCAAGTACCATAGCTCACTGCATGTATTTGTTGTATGAATGCAATGCTATGGAAAGGAATCGTAGCCACTTCCAACCGTTCAGCTGAGGGCCATGCACTTGCAAAGACAATGGGGAAGGTTAGGACATTCACATGGAGGCCTGTGGGCTGAGTGGAAGTAGAGCCCTTTACCTCTTCTCTTGTGTTCAAATACAATAAAGGCTTGACCTTGAATCTTAGTATGCATGTCCATGAGCAAATCTAAATAACACGAGTTTGAAAACAAGGAAAACCTTGGAAATATACTTCATCTTTTGAAATATCATTCCTGGGAACATTACATTCTACACTGGCTGAAGAAGACCAATAACTCGTAAGAACCTGACAAAGCGAGAACAAACAAACGAACTATTGATTTTAAAATTGTGTATTCTTTTTCCCGTAATAATCGAAGGAAACAGACCTGAGAATGAAACTCAAATATCCAAATCATCATCTGGATCTTCATCGGTGTCAAGAGCCTCTTCGTCTGAATCACGAAAATAATGGATCTCACCTTTTCCACCATTGGATGATGTGGTTATTGTTGCAGAAGCTGATTCATCCAACCGTGGGGTGGGAAATATATTTTTTGGGGCATCTGCAATGGGTCCTCGACCGTCATAAATCTTTATGTCCTCGCCATTCCCTGAGAGAGAGAGAGAGAGAGAGAGCTCTTAGTCACAAGTAGTTAAGCATAAAATAGATAATCAGAAGAAAATATTACTTAATGGGGCATCCTCAAACACGCATGCATGTATATGAGAGTAATTGCCGTTGGTCAGACCCAGACATGCATGTAAATGTGTATGTGGAGTGTGCGTGAATAATTGCAAGCTTACATACAGTTGATCACCTTGGTGTTCAAAGGGAAGTATAACTTTTGCCCTATCACCTCGTTCTTTATCAGTTAGTTGGAGATTGAACTGAACCTGTTTAATACCAACGACATTTACATGGATCCTGTAATAAAATGGCAGAACAGAAACAAATAAAAGGAAAATGTAGATGGGCCTCCAACCTGGTTCAGTAAATATATGATGTAATAGAGGAAGGGTGAGAAACAGATAGATGGGTTTCTCACTCTACCTAACTACACCATAAGAATAATGGAGTGGTGCACATTGGTCTCTTACCTGTTGAGCAGTACTGCAAGAAATGATACAACAGAGGAAAAGAGATAGAAGGATACATGTGTTTCTCATTCTCTTTTTCTAGTTGATTAAAGAACACAGCACTACAAGAGAGAAAAGAAATAAACCTTAGGCAAAATAGCATCATTCCGAATAGCATTTCCCAAAGAAACTGGAACAAACTTGATGCCCCCTTGCTCCACATCAAACTCCTCAAACTGCAGCACAAAAACCAAATGATGAAAACCGAGCTCAGTTAAAACAACATGATCCATTCCCAGATGTAATTAAACAAAAACCCATTGAACTCAAGGGCAGAAAAGGAAGAAAAATCCTGGTTAAATTTTGACTTGAAATGCTTTTTATCCAGTAAAAAAGAGACAAAAGAAGAAGACAGTCATAAACTCACGAGAATTTTGACTCTCCCATTCCGGCGCTTCAACCTCATGTGCAATTTTCCTCTTCTAGAGTTCTGTTCAAGCTGAAATAGGTGATTATGGTGATTTCTTTGAGCATCTGTTGAAGGCGAAGCGATGGGTTCCAAACCAGCCACCATACTAGACAAGTATTCAAGGGACAAAATTGCTCTGGGCTCATGAAGGTCCGAATGCAACAACCAGAAGAGAGATGCAACTTGATCTGTAGAGGACAACAGGAAAATCAACGACACATTGCAGTTAAATTCCAACTGGATGCATAGAAAGCAAATCAATGGCTGAATAAAGTTTGTAGAACTTGCGGTAATTTAGTTCCACAAACCCAGTTGGGAAATTTTGTAATGTTCAGAAATTAAGATACTGATTGTAGGTTTTTTTTTTTTGGGTCAAAACATACTGATTGACATTAGGGAGTAGAACGTGGAGTTCTTTCAAACTTGAGCAATGTAGGCAGGTTCGTACCCTATACGAAACTCCAGCCACTCAAGATACATTTAAAAAAGATGGAACAAGGAGGATATTTGAAAATATACAAGTGAAGATTGATGAGCTGTCAAAGGAAATAGCAAATTCAATCCATTGGAGGAGGTAAAATAACTTGTATTTGTGGTCAATACTTCCCTAATTCATTAGAACATGACAATGCCATAGTGGCTTATTTTCAAAATTTATTCAAGGCTGAGAGTAGATCTTTCATTTTTTTTTTCTTTTTTTGGGTAGTTCAGTGGTAGGGCTCAAACTTGAGATGTAGTGTTGCTTGATGTCAACTGCCAACCAAACCCCTCAAGCCCAAGCCCAAGCCCAAGCCCAAGCCTGATTCCCGGTCGTTCATTTCAATTGCCTGAATCCCATTAAAGAAACTGACCCAGGATTATAACATGGCAGGAAAGGTCATCTAATGAAGAAGAAATAAAAATGACATTTTTCATTATGAAAGAGTTTTATGGAAGGGGAAGGATAAACAAGGCTATGAATTCCACCTTCGTTGCTCCTGTTCCAAAGTAGGGGGTGGAAAATACCGAAGATTAACGATCTACTAGTCTACAGTCTACTTAATAATACATACAAAATCATATCAAAGGTCTTTGCAAGCAGGCTACAAGAAGTCCTCCACTTCCACAGGCAGCCTTTGCGAGAGAGAGAGACATTTTGGATGGGCCCTTATTTGCGCATGAGTGTATTCATTTGAGACAAAGAAAGGAAGCCAGAGATGATTTGCAAACTTCACCTCAAAAAGATATATGGCAGTGTTGACTGAGATTATCTCAAGGACATAATGCAATTCATAGCATTTAAGGATAGATGGAGAAATTGGATAGAGGATGCTTCCCTACCATGCAGTTACCAGTTCTAATCAAGGGATTGCCTAAAGGCTTCTTTCAGAGCTATAAATGTCTTTGACATGCTGATCCGTTATCCCATTTCCTGTTAGGTATAATTGCTGAGACTTTTAGTGGTATGTGAATGGGTTTATGTTTCTGGCAAAATAAAGGGTTTTTCTTATCTGCAAATGGTCCAATAGTGTCATATCTGCATTATGCAGATTACACTGCTATTTTGTTATACAAAAACTGAAGAAATGAAAAATCTGTGGCTGTGCACAAGGCGGTCAGGATAAGAGTAAATACGTCAAAAAACAAAGCTCTTTGGAGTTTCTTTAGAAGAAAACTAGCTAGTAGATCTGCTCAGACATGTTAGGTGTGGAACTGATTTACTACCGAACAAATGCCTAGGCCCTCCCTTAGGAAATGAGAGGGGTGTGTGACATAGACAGGTTCTACACAAAAAAAAAAGGGCAGTGTGGAAGACAAAAGTACCAATTTATGGGAGGTAGATCAACCATCATCAAATCTGACAGATCAATCCACCTGTATGTATACTGCGTATTGTTATGTACTGTGCCCAATTCTGTTGCCAAAGAGGTCAAGAAAAGTAACGAGGGGTAAACACAAGAACACTTGGTGAAACGGGAGAAGGCCCGTTTAACCTATAGTTAAGGGCACCAGGAGATCCAAAGCTCAAAATAAATAAACTTGGCTCCGTTAAGAAAATGGTGGTGGAGAATTGTGGAACGAAGTGGTGACGAGCAAGTACGGCCTACAGGAGAAAGGGTGGTTGGTGAAACCAACTCCTAACTGTGAAAGATATCTGGAGGATGTTGTGAGATTAATTGGAGCTGATGCAAGCTTGTCCAACACACCAGATACCAAGCTGGGGAGTCATGTTTTGGCTTGACCCTTGGTTAGACTTAGAATCCACTACTATTAAGGAATACTACCCCAACTTGTTTGCATTGGCTACAAATCTTGAAACAAAAATTAATGACGTGGTGGAGGGAGTTGGGTTTCAGACAGTATGAAATTCGTCTCGTAGACATGTTTTCAAGGAAAAATCCAATCACAGTTGGGATTGCTTACTGCACTTCAGTAGCATACTATAGGCCGAATAAGGAAGACAAGATGATTAAAGATATTCTTTCAGCGAAATCTAGGTATCAAGTCCTGACCCAGATTGTGGTGATCCCAAATGTATGTTTGTTATGTAAACAGGCACCAGAGTCAGCCAGATGCCCTTTTTTATATTGAAGCACAGTGCATGCAGTGATGGGCTTTGTCCTATATTTGGCCTTTACAAGGTTGTACAAGATCCGGTAGAAGCTCTGATGCAGCAGTGGCATACTTCCTCCTGCCTAAGCTGGGCTTGATCCTTTGGAGGTTACTGTGACATGGCTCACCTGGTTAAGCACAAAAGAGGAACAAGAGAAAGAACAAATCAAAATTACTGTAGCTTCCTGGGCCAAATATAGGAAACAGTTTTGGGGGTACTGTATGTATAACTTTGACACTAATGGAAGTTCGAAGGAGATTGCAACCGGTAAGCTCCTGAGCTGCCAACTGGCCACCAATTTCTAAAGGCTTTGTGAAACTGAATTTCAGTGGAAGTTCTAGAGGCAACCAGGGGAGAACATGAGTGAGGGCTAGTGAGACGCCATCAATAACAAATATTACTTACTCAGGCAGTGTTTCAAAAAATGTTAGGCGGCACCTAGGCGGCCGGGGGGGTCCAGGCAGCCCAGTGCCTAGGCAGGCACCTAGGTGGGCACCCAATAGAAAGAAAAATGTATGTAGTGTAAGTGTCTAAGTCGAACAGTATAACCATATAACACATAATCCATAATCTATATTTTCGTGAATGAGGAGAATTTGGATAGTCCATAATCCATATTTCCATACAATGCTAGAACCATACAAGCATACACACAAGAGTTAAACAGTAGAAACTAGAAACTAACAAATAAGAGAAAAAATATATATACAGTCTAAAACTCAATAGTCAACACCAAGAGTCAAGTGTCTTCATTCTTCAGTCATCATCAGAAGGAGTAGGGTAAGCCTCATCATATGCATCAGATTCGAGGTCATCATCATTGCAATCATCTCCCTCTTCAACATAACGCTTGTCCTCCTCTATTTCTTCTAAATCTGCCCCTTCCTCCTCTTCTTATACCACCCTCTTACTCTGTGCAGACGAGGCCTTAGGAATCTTGGCTGCTCTACCTAGTGCTTCTTCACCCTTTTCTTTCTTTTTGTATTTCCTTGAACTCAAATATTGTATAATCTCTTCCCTGGTAGCCTCAAAATTTTTTTACATGGGACAACATCCCCCTTAATACCGGCAAGGTGTTTATTGAACTGGTAAATACCCCTATTAGTATCCTTTCTACAATAATTACACCTAATACGATTTTGTCATTTGGATTTGGGTTATAACCGTACTTCCAACCCGGATCACCACTTCTAGAAAAACCTAGAGAAGATATTTCCATAAAACACGGCTCATTTTCTTCCTTTTCTAGTTCTACTAAATTCAAATATTATCTAATCTTGTCCTGAATAGCTTTAAGAACCTTTTTACAAGAAGCAATATTCCCTTTAATACCGGTAAGGTGTTTCTTGAATCAATTAATACCCCATTGATATCTTTTTCACAAAAATTACACCTTATACAATTTTTATCGTTTGGTTTCAAGTTATAACCATACTTCCAAGCCAGATCACCTCTTTTAGCAGAACCAGAAATAGGCTTATCCAAATGACAAGGATTTTGTCCCTGTTTGTGTTTTACTAAACTCATATATAGGTTAATCTCCTCTTTGATAGCTTCAGGAACATTTTTACAAAGGGCAACATTCCCCCTAATACTGACAAGATGTTTCTTAAACCAGTTTATGCCCTTTTTGTATCCTTTCACAATAATTGCATCTAATGCCATTTTTATCCAAACGATTCGGGTTATATCCATATTTCCAACACAGATCACCACTTCGACTAGATCCTGAAGAAGACATCTCAAAATAATACAAGCAATCTAAAAATAAAATTTTCCATTTACTTTGATTGCTCGATCTCCAAACTTCCATTTCTGAGATGTTTTCTAGTGCTAAAATCTTCAAAAACACCCTCTAATAGGCCTAAACAAACTCCAAAACTAAATCTAATCTTAATGGGTGATGTTTGGATCCATTTCCCGTAACTTTGAGAAATACTTCGATCCAATGAAAATCACACAATCTAATTTTTTTTTTTTAGGTTTCTCTCTTTAAAATGGGCTCTAGTGGTTTTAAGTTTCAAATGAACCGCCTAGGTGGGTGCCCTACCGCCTAGCCAGCCACCCAGGGACAACCCGTCTAATTTGGCCACCTAGGCCTAAGCGAAGCGCCCAAGCCTTTTGGAGCGCCTAGGAGCTGGGTGGTCTGCTTTTTAAAACAACACACTTAGGTCCTCTACGAGGCTCGGGTAGCCAGCACAAGAGCACGAGTTCGAGTCCTGCGAGCGACCACTTTGTGCATAAGCCAAAAGGTTATGACCATTTCCAGCTCACCCCTCCAGGGACCCTGCTTAGGCAGGACCAGCACTGGGTTACGGCCCTGTAGGTCCTCTACAAGGATGCAGCTCAAACAAAGTAGAGTTTTGGTTGCTCGTATTCGACATTAGAAACCTGCACTCCAGCTAGAAAAAGTTAAGCATTGATTGGAAAGGGGATTATCCTACTAATAACCTGGCTGAGTGGTAGAGAATATTGCCATTGGAATAACAGTTATGGGCAGTTACTTCCCTAGGTGATGGTCCAACTCCACGCACAAGGTTCCACACTCCCAGAACTGCTCCTCCTTAAGATCTAGCTCCTGATAAAATGGAATATAGATCCCATTTAGCATTGGATCTCGATCACATCTACCATAGGATCTTGATCCTATAGTAAATCTAAATATGATCAGACGCATTGTCAATTACAAAGATCAATTATGAAGAAGGTTATTGTCATTAACTAAGTAGTGTATCTATACATGTTGGTTATATGCCTTATCTTGATAGGAAATCAAAGAGAGATCTCCATAAACACAATTGAAAGACCACGATGGTTTAAGGATAATTTTCAATTCCCTTTCTTGTCATGGCCCTACAATCCCAATCAATTTTTGATGGGACTCTCTTATGATGGACTATCCGTGGCCCAATTATACATAACAGTAAAAGATGAATAATTTGTTAATTTTTTAAAATTTGACCTAGTTTCACCTTATTTTATAATGTGCATATAAAACATTATAAAATGCATAATATAATATAGTATCATATTATATTATATTATATTATATTACATAATATAATATAATATAATATTATATTATACAACATTATATAATATAATATTAAAATGTATTTGATGAGATTTTTCATCATCTTAGCATCATGAGCAAGACTGAGTTTTGCATCATTTTAACGAGCTCGTAGACTCCTTCACAGGGGGATGGAGACTCCAAAACTTCTCTAGTCTTAACACTTTGGAGGCCTAACTTGTTAGGTATGCATGTTAGAAAATTTAATTTCAACTTATTAAACTGCAAGAGTCTTTCATGTATGGACTTGCTTTTGTACAAGAAATATACCACGTATACACATTTTTGAATTAGTGACATTTTATCTACATTAAAAAAAATATATATTGTAGTTTTTGTTTTGGGTAAATATATATTATAGTTTTTAAGTTAGGCTACATTGCATTAATTCAGGGGAAAGAAGTCTGTAAATAAACCACCTCAGAAAAAGCCCATGGTTGGTAAATCAATGTGCCATCACCAAGCAATACTCCCTTCCTTCCCCCAGAATCAACAACCTTACTTACACCAATATCACATCACATACAGCCAATGAAAAGTATAATTGGTGGTCATCATTCACAGTACACAGAAACAGCTACCTCACATAAGAAAGAAATGGTTGAGCATTGTATGAAGAAGAAAGAGATACAGAAATAATAGTTGATAGCATCAATAGGGCCATCATCAATTTGGTCAAACTCGGGCTAGAAAGGAGACAAGCAGCAAAGACCTGAGAGCTCTGTGAACAGTACTAATGCCCATCCAGACGATAACGTTTTCTATATTTTGTTTTTTGTTTCTCTTTTATTTGTATCCAGAGGATGGTGCACTGGAAGCCAAGTAAATGCCAATCATAGTTGTTGGGATCGGGAGTAGGACTAAAAGCGGGATTGGGAATGGGAGCAAAGAATCGTGAAATGCTAGAAGATCCCTATGATTGAGACCGTCATTCGCCCAATGCATTTGTTAGGGATCTAGATACCATATGATAGGCATCGAGATCCCAGCCTTTTGGGGATCTTGATCCTGACCTTTTGGGATCTCAATCTTGATCTTTCAAGGATCTTGCTCTCATCCCTAAAGAGTATGTACAATTTAAGACTATAAAAACTCTTCAAAGTAAAACTAACAAGCAATGCAACTATATTAAAAGTATAATTGTGTTGTTAGCTGGCTATAAATTAAGAAAATTATTAGTTTGATTATTATTTTGGTCTTTAAAGTTGGGATCGAGATCCCTAATAATAGGAATCGGGATCCCTAACAGAGAGCATAGAGATCCCAAAATTTAAAAATTGAGATCCCTCGATGATTCTTTTCCCAAAGCGTTGGAGTGAGATTCCAAAGTGGATTCAGCACCAATGTTGGGAGATCCCAGAAAATATGATGTAAACAACATTGTATGTGAGATCAACATGAGTTTTGATGCTGTAATCCCCTCTGAATCTTAATGCAACTTCCAATAAAAGAAAAAAAAAAAGTTACTCCCCAACCCAAGGATCTTGTGATGAAATAGTCTAATCCAAAATGGGCCTTTTGCTTTTACTACATTCCACTTTAATGTTTTGAACTTACATATTATGATTTGTTTGAAGTTTCACTGCATTAGTGTCTCCACCATTTCCAAGGAAAAGATATCATTAGACAATGGATCCATGGTTTGTTGCATCCACCAATATCATAGGAGTATTATCAAACCTATATGCCTTCGTAAACTCATAGCTACTCATAGGTGTCTCCTTACAATAATGAATAAAATAAAAAATAATGTTAGAAATTCCCCAATGCTTTCAACATTATACATTGATATGGTACCTAAATCACAAATTGAAACTTTGTGACCCAACTCAGCACCTGACCAAGTCGACGTGCACAAAGAATGTACCAAGCCCCATCTAGAGGCCATCTTGGTCTTTAATGGGGGAGGATTGAACACTAACTCTCTCTTGCGAAGAAGGAGTTCCACCATCAGGCCAAAGGCACTAATTTATAAATGGTCTACAATGTGACATTTTTACAAGCAATCACAACTTCTACTATCTCCAGACTAAGTGAGTGCATACCATGGCTACGAAGATTATTTATCAGGCTGGAAACTGAAAGCAATGATGTGTGCCTCAGCAATTCACTTGCCTGAAAAGGAATGCAAAAAAAAACAAAAAAAATCAAATGTCAAAGATGAGGAGCACGAAAAATGATTTATGAATATCTAACTGAAGGAAAATGCAAAATCATGACAACACATGAAAATCTTAAATGTAGTTTAACAATGGCTTCAGTTTTGGTAAATACTAAACATCAACAAACAAATATGGTCAGGCCACAAGAAGTGCATCAACAATAGTGCCTTGAGGCAGTCCTATAAAAAGGTCTAAAGGAAAGGATTCAAGCTTCAGCTTGATTGATTAAGGTGTTGATGATTGCAACATTACATCGTAGATCAAATCCTCCCACTAAACTACCCCAGAAAAAGAGGAAGGCCTAAAGCAACCTCTCTCGCCCGAGTACAAACCTTGCAGCATTATAGTGTATGGCAAAAGAGGCGACGATGAACAACAAGAGAAACATAAATGAATAATTTAATTCTGGGGAAGCAAGTCAGTGAAGCTTCATCAAGGCCCAATTGATACTACATCAAGCCTCATTGACACTGTTATGGAGCTACAGGGTCTATTAACTATATTTCCAATCTCTCTTTATGAACATGAGCTACAGTAATTATGTCAATAAAATCGATGATGTTTTTAATAGAAGAAACCGCTCTGCCCAATAACATTTACTACATCATAGGAACCCTTTCTTCCTGGAAAGTTATTGTGTATTCCTCGCCTTTACATATTTATTATTAATATGTGACAGCAGAAACTTCAGCATAGGTACATCGAGAACACACGGAGAGGACTCCAATAACTATGCAAAACACCCATTCCCAACATAGGTTCGATTGTATAATTCATTATCTGATCAAACTTCCTAAATAATGAGGGACTGGAACAAGAAGTCTGTGGCTCTATGCTCCACACACATCTCAATAAAGTTCTTAGTAAGAAGCATATGGCACTGGATCCAACTAGGCAATAGAAAATGAGTTATTTCATATTTACTCCTGGCATCAATGGCTACATATAGTTTAATTTTTTTTATGTGGCATAAGGAACCAACTGTACATATCACACCATTTTTGCTATAGATACAGAGAAAATTTTTCAAATCCTATAAAATAAATATGGAAGTTAATGATATCCTAAGATTACATGTGGAAGGAAGGTTGCCAAGATCAGGAATTCCTTCGGCTGGATTTCTAATATATCAATGGAACAGGGATGTGATCAAGTGACAATGGAAGTTTATGACTATTGGTCTATTTTACACAGCACATAATATTATTTTGTCACAAGTACCATCTAAGAATGCAAAAGGAATGGAAAGAAAGAGAGGTCAATAGGAAGCACAATAGATTGACGCCATGTCATTCCTCTACAACTTTGATTAGAGAGATCTACATGGAATAAATAACTTAAAAATGCAACTTGAAAAAGTTTAGACGGCTACTCCAACATTATATGCATACACAACAATGGTTACAAGAACACCAATACAACATACTAGCAATACAAACTAGCCAACAAGGTTTGATTTGATGCCCAAAGAAAGCTCAAAGCGAACAATACTGCCCTCTTGGGTAAATGGTGATGGCGCTACACCACCCAATCCAATCACCTTTGGCAGCTGGTACTGCAACAAAAATACCACCTCCAGCCTTCCTCCTGGCTACCCTCCTATAGAGCTTAAAGCAGGGCTTCAGGTGTATGGTGCACACTCTTTAACACCCTCAAGGTGTTCAAACAGAATACTCGCATTTTAGCACAGGCTGGTACTGGAACCAAATTTTGGTCCAAATTATGGTTTGGAACCTCCCCCTTTATGAATCCCTTCCCCTCCCTCTTCCTTCTCACAATCAATAGACACAAATCCGTTGCTGCAGTATTCAATATCCAAGAATCCAAATGTGTGTGGAGCACTACCTTTAGGAGGCCCCCTTCAGACAATGAACTCCAAGAGTTCCTTGACCTCTCAGCTCTTCTGAATTCTTCCTCCATCCCCGTCCAAGGCGAGGATAGGGTCATCTGGTGGCCCTCACCCTCTGGCCTCTTTATGGTTTCCTATTTTTACCAAGAGCTTCTCCAACCTCCCACCTTTCCCTTAAACCCCACTTCTTCAATTGGATTGCCTTCCACCAAAGGGTCCTCACAGTAGACCACCTCAGAGAGTAGGCTTACCCTTACCCATCCGATGTACCACGTGCTTCGAGGCCGAGGAAACCAACGAACACTTATTCATCTGCTGTACCGCTCTCTCTCCTCTTGAGTCTCCTTCTTCGCCTTTTTCATTGGCAATTGTGTCACCCCCCAATCTATCCCTCGCCTCTTTTCTTCCTATCAACCATACCTCGGCCTAAGCCTGGCATTCTCCTCTGGAAGGCATCAAACTTCGCGCTCCTTTGGACTATGTGGATCAAGCGCAATAATAAGATTTTCCAAGGACAATACAAGTCTACCTCGGTTTTGTTTGACAAGATCAAATATATGGTGATTTTTAGGGCCCCTAACCATGAACTCTTCAAAGGTATCCATCACTCGGCCTTTCACCAAGACCAGCTCCTTCATCTTTCGCACCCCAGGTTCCCCAGGCCTCCCACTAGATTCCTCCTGACCCAGGTGCCATCAAGCTGAATTTTGATGGGTGTTCCCTTGGTAACCACAGACCGGCTGGTGTTGGTGGCTTGTTTAGGAACCACGAGGGTGTAATCTTGGTTTCCTACTCCAAACCTATCAGACACTTCGACTCCCATATGGCAGAAGCTCACACACTCCTTAAAGGCCTTAGACTCTTCAACCATAGTTGGTCCTCTACCCTCATTGTGGAAGGTTATTCGCACAATGTAATTAGCTGGGCCTCCGCTTCCACCCCCTATGCCTGGTCTCTAGCATACATTTCGAAGAAATTGCGCACCTTTGCTCGGGCCTATCGATTTCTTGGAAACACGTTTGGCGCAAAAGTAATTCACACGCAAATTCACTTGCCAAAGAAGGTGCTAATACTCAAGTGATTGAATAATTTTTGCAGCCTCAATCATCATCTCAAGCTGGTGGAGTGGCTCGCCTATATTACAGGAATCTCTTTGCCGACCTCACGTTCCGGTTTCGAAACCCGATTTCGTGTTTCTGTTAAGGAATCTCCACAAAAATCGTTTTTTGGAACCAAGGAAACTCGATTCCTTTATTTCGAAATCATGATTCAACACATATTTAGATACCATTTTTTAGAACCAAGGAAACTCGATTCTTTAATTTCAGAATCTTGATTCAGCACATCTTTAGAAACCATTTATCGGAATCAAGAAAACTCGATTCCTTAATTTCAAAATCTCGATCCAACACATCTTTAGAAACTTGAACCCATTAATCGTGGGTAGACGTTCCCATATATATCGAATCTGGATTCCAGCGAGGATTAAATCTTGATTCCACATCAATTGGAGTAAAAATCTTCCTTCGAATGCTTCTAGTGTTTGCAATGTTTCATTATCTTACTTGTGCCACCCTAGATTGCTTTTACTTTAAATTTAAAATATGACTGGTAAATACAACACATACAATTAAAAGTAAAACCCACGGCATAGACATAATCCTATTTTGTCTTTATAATAATGAAGTCAAAATCACAATTTAGAAATACTTGTCTTTTGTATATAATGACCGTAAGTTCAATTGTCAACACAATCACTTTAAAATTTACGAAACCTTCTAATAAAAAACATCCAATATAGGTTCTAAAGTTGATGAGGCTCAAGATGTGCTTGTCGTTTCCTTCTCTATTAAAATGAAATCTCGATTCCTCGTAGGGGTCGTCAAATGCATTCCATAGTCCATATTATTGTAAATCTCGATGTCAAACTGGCATGGATCTCTTATCCTTATACTTCAGAAACTTGATTCCAAATATGCTAGAATCACGATTCGAAATATCAATATATCTTTGTTCCATATATGTCAGAAACTCGATTCCATAGATGTTGGAAACTCGACTCCGCATATTAAGGAATCTTGACTCTTGAAGTGTCGATTCCATGGGGATGGGAATCTTGACTCCTGGAGTGTCGATTCTAGGGGGATGGGAATCTTGATTCCAAAGAGGACGGAATCTCGATTCCATATGTGAATGAAACTTAGATCTGTTTCGATCGAAACACAATTCTCAAAAACTAGGACTCTCTTTCCTAGTGATTCCTATTGTATGGACAACGATTCCTAAGATAGGAATCTTCGATCCGGTCGCGATTCTGCGATTCTGGTTCCTAAAACGATTCGGGTTCCCCAGCGTTTCCATCAACTATGGCCTCATCCCTTTGACCCCCCGTATTTTGTATATGACTCCACTAAGGGGAGTCCCATTTTTTGGATGTATATAGTCCCATTTTTTGGATGTATATAGTCCTCAAACTTTGTAAACATTTTGTATTTTTTATGCCTTTGATACAATGTTAACATTCTCAAAAAGAAAAAGAATGCTCCTTAAGCAGAAAAACTGTATGAGGACGTCAAGTCTCTTATTCATCACAAGTATCTAGCATCTACAGTTCAGATCAAGAAACTGTGCTATGTCATCAATAATGTGTAGAATACAAGAAAATAATAGAAATAAAATTTCCCCAACAGTTAGTGTTATCAAAAAAAAGAAAAGCTATACATTTCCCCAAAAAAAAAAGGAAAAAAAAAAGAAAGAAAAAAAACCTAGAAATCAGAATGCCTGGCTAAACCAAGATGATGCCAATTCATGTAAGGAATTACATCCAGTCATAATTGTTAGGGTCATGAGTTGGAGTCTTGGAAGTCATGAAAGGCTAGAAGTTCCTATGGTTGGGACAATCATCCATACAATGCATATGTTTAGGGGTCGAGATCCAAATATGTTAGGGATCTCGATACCAACCTTTTGGGGATCAACATTTTGAGGATCTTGAACGGCTCCAAAAAAAAAAAAGCAAAAAAAAAAGACCATTTTGGGGATCCTGCTCCCAACATTGAAGAGCATGAGTCTAGGACTATGGTCAGTGGTTTTAGAGATAATGGGAGATGTCTTAAAATTGCAGTTACACAGTGGAACCACTTATTCATTAATATCTCACAAAATACAAATTTCTTTGAGCTAAAATTTTGTGTGCATAAAATAGACTCACAGTACTTTCAGTGTTCACAATTTCACAGAAATCCAATATACTATCGTGAAGAACCGACTCGCCCCATTTCATGTTTTCTGCTACCTACAAAACATGGACAGTAGCACCAAGTTTTAGAGTGAGAAGCTAACACTGTGCGGTGTACAGAAAGGAATCCTTCTAGAGTCTCAACTTTCAAGCCTTCACTGAGGGAGGATCAAGGCAGAGCCTATCTGGGGTTTGGATGATACTCCCTCTCTACCTGCTGGTTAGTCGAGTCTGATGAACAAGAGTTCCTGAAGAAGGCTCCAAGATACAGCCGTCCTTGGCCTGAGTCCTTAAGCTCATAAAGTCAGTTCACCACTCGATGTCCCTTGTTCCTTGATAGTCCTGAATACAAGAGACACTTTGTTCTCCTTGTTCCTACTAAGAGAAATCCATCCTAACCTTGCTTCATACAAAAGTGATACCGGACCAACATAACCCGCCTCTAGTTATACTAGAAATAATTGACTCTATTTCCAAAAGGATAACCAGCTCTGGACCAACCACTTGAACATAGATCTTTTCTTCTTTTGAGGACCAAAAGGTGAAGGAACTCAAGTACTTGTTTATTAGGAGTCGAAATCACCTTCTGGTTTCACCAATATGACTTTTTAGAGGTGGGAGAGGACTTATGCGCAAAATTGCACCTACCTGTGCATCCAAACAGTAGGTTAATACTCTTTCTTAGCGGTACAAGGTGGGAGTCTCTACAGAGGAGGTATCATCGGTGGGAAGTGGAAATTGATCAGAATATTACCTTAAAAAGGCTTTCATCCCGGTGGGAGTAGGTGAAACCTACCTATTCAATAAACAACACTCATCTCCTCTCCCAAACAGGCAGACGACTCCTGCAGGAGCAAGGATATTTGCAATTGTGTGCAACTAGCGTTTTAAAAAATGATAGCTAGGCTAGTTCAACCAACCACTAGCCTCGATCAGGATATGGGGCCAGATCGGTGATGCAAATGGCTTGGATCAACGATCCAGCAAAAAACACAAAAAAGACAAAGCAATATATAGTGCTTAATATATATATATATATATATATGGAAAACTCTTAAAAACGTTTATAGGCAAAATTGAATAGTGTTTCTCTCCGCAACGGATATAGCATGTCCGTTGCCGTTTTGCCTTAAAAATCGCCACAGATCTATAGGAGCCGTGGCAGTTTTCCATGTTGTTTGAGTGAAAAAATACCACCATAGACATGATATGCCCGTTGCGGTATTTTAATCCACGCTGTCCAAAAAAATCGGACGGCGTCGAGCCTGTGGGCGAAAACACTGTTCATTTTCACCAATAGGCGTTGCGTAGTGGCTTCCTGTATATATATATATATATATAGGAAAATGTTGAGATTAGCCCACTATCTCATATGAACATATGAGTTCACATGAGCCCAATGGCCTAGATTGAATCTGGGCTAATCTGACGGTCACGACATTATTTCGTATTTAAGTTTTAATGATTTTTTTTACAAATCCAAATAACTTGAAATTTTAGGCGTGTGTTTTTCAAAAATAGTATAATGTAATAAAAATATCAAAACAATAATTTACAATAAATAAATTAAGTTTCAGGGGTATTTTGGTCAATTTATTTATTGCTAATTATTTTTTAAATATTTTTATTAGATGCGCCTTGATGAGAAAAATGGATGTCTAAAATTTCAAGTTATTTGAATTTGTAGAAAAACAATTAAAAATTCAAACACGAAATGAGGTCGTGACCATCAGATCGACCCAGATTCAATCTGGACCGTTGGGCTCATATGTTCATATGAGCTAGTGGGCTAATCTCAGCATTTTATCTGTGTGTGTGTGTGTGTGCATGCGTGCACGTGCGTGTGTGTGTGTGTATGTGTGTGTGTGTGTGTGTTATAACACTAAGCAAAAATAGCAAAGTTGGTTAAAGCATATGCTACTATCCACGAGGTCGGAGGTTCAAGCCCTCCTTCAATCCTTCCCTTTTTTTAACATTAGAACAAATGCTAGGAAAAGAGGGACATTAGGGGGATTCGACCTCCCACCATATGCTTCTAAGTCATGCAAGCTCACCAACTCAACCCTTTTCTTCTTTTTTTTAATGTCAAAAAGAAAAGTATAATATCTGTTAAATATATTTTGAACATTAGGAATAAAAAGGACATTGGGAGGTTCGAAGCTGCAACCAAGTGACTCTGAGCCACACACGCTAGTCAAATGTCAACTAACCTATGTCGATTAGGTGAGATAACAGTTATTCAAACAGAAACCGGTATAGTCTTAGGTGATTCTCGATCAGTATCGGCAATTTTTAAAAAATTGTGCACAACCAAACAGGGCCATACTGAGCACTCCTACTTCTTTTGGCCTAACTCTATGCTCGAAACTCCAATATGGGCATATGGCCACTCATTGGAAAGCTATCGTCAAGCTCTACAATTTCACCACTATCTAAGGTGGACTTCACTATCAAAAAAGAAGAAGATCTCTAAAGTCCATTAATGGTTTTCAGCATAAGGTAGAAACTTGATCAACAAATAAAAACTAACATCTCTAAGGCGGTTACTGGTCAAAACTATTTCATAATTAGCCATGAACCATGTCAAATGAAAGCTGTATTTTACATAAGGAAAAGGTATGATTTTTATGAATCAAGTCCGATACCTGCACTTTAACCAAGGGCTTGCACATATCTTGCTTCGGCCAAGGTATCTTGAGGGCTTACCAGAGGCCTATATCAGGCTGTGCCTAACAGTTAAAGTCATCAGACTGCCCCCACTTAACTATATTTAGACTACTTTTCCATGTCCAAAGACATGAGGACCATTGGTCCTTAACCAACCTGGGTAAGTCATTAAGAATATAATGTTACTATTGACTGGAAAATCCGTTTAATGGAGCCCCTGGGCTTCTGGGCACAAGCCCTGATCTCAGTTATCCAATCATTCAGGGCCCTGGCTATTCCTTGGAATAAAGCAAGGGTATGTATTTTTTAAAATAGGAATCAATTTATTTCAACCCAGTATGCAATACAACTACATTTACTGTATCATTGCATTGCTAGCTGGCTACAAGTACTTTCGTCATCATCTTAGCCTTAATGTGGGGATCAAGATCCCTAACAGTGAGAATCAAGAACCCAAAATTAAAAAATCGAGATCCCTTTCCCAGAGGCTGGAGTGAGATCCCAAAGAAGGATTGCTACCTAGGTTGGGAGGTCCCAGTAACTATGCATCCAACAAGTCCTTGACTAATATAATCAGATGTTGAATTATAAAATAAAGCAAAAAAAGTTAAGTTAATTCTTTGGCAAGTCAAAAATTTGTTTAATTAATAAGGGAAAGAACAACACAATCATGTGACCCAAAGCCTAAATATCCTATCAATATGCCCACCTCGAACTTGCCAGAAGATATTGTGTTATTATAAAGCAACTTTAGGCTTCTTTATAACTCTTGATACAAAAGAGTAGATGCAAAAAATTAAATCATATGATTCTGCACATGATCATTAAACAGAGCAAATCTCAATTTAGAAATTACAAAAACATGTCTAAGTCTTAATTAAGGGAAAAGAAAGTGCTGGACACGGTTTCTATGAGCCCATGTAGAAATGAGTCACCTCTTAAAAATCTGTTTTTGAGATGGATTTTTGGACTTAATTTTTAAGGACATGTAATCTCTAACATGGAGACCATGAATATGAAAAAATAAATAAATTTTAAAATTAGAAATAATAATTCTATTAAGAAAACATTTGAATCGTTTGTTTCGATTGTTTTTAGATGGACCACCTATTTGCATCCATCTTTAAGATGGATGCTTTATACCTTGGAACCGCATATTGTAGAAATGCGGTCCACCCCCATGAAACAATTTCCAAATGAAAATCATACTTTTGGAGAAAGAAAAGGAATGAGAGCTCCATATATTTTTATGTTACAAAAAGAACTCCATATATTTTTATGTTACAAAAAGGAGAAAATCATAGTACAAGAATGCAAAAACAAGCAAGCCACAAATAGAAATGTACAAAAAACTTGAAGAGAAATGATTGTACCGAGTCAATTGCCACAGAGAAGCGTCCTTTTCCTGGTCCAACTAATCCTGTGATCATAGACTACCACATGAACTTTCAGTGAAACAACATGGTGTAAAACAAAAGCACCAAGAAGGAAGGATAACAAATCCTTAAGCCAATCTCCATGACTACAATAACCATGCATTAAGGAAATAGGAGAACTATACCTCTACCAAGATCAAAAACCAGAGAACTCAATTTTTCAGCATCCCCAACATCCCTGAAAAGACATTCAACATCTCCAACAGAGGACTTGTCATGGCTTTTGGATGAAAGTTGAGCGGAAAAACCCGAATTCAAAAGTTTGTCCTTCCAACCAAGAGGATCTGAATAGCAATCCACAATCCTGATCCTACAAATGAACTTAATTAAATAAATAAGCAAAAGAATGAAGGTTTCTCCTTAAATAACAACTCCGAGATCAAAGTTTACATTATTGTTGATCATGTTTTAAATATACAAATGGATAACGTTTTCTGCTTAAATAAACAACTTGGTGATCAAGGTTTCATTAGTCATAAATAGGCTGATAGTGTTCAATGCCTGAGAAGCAGTACACTATCTACAGAACGTCTGATGAACACCATAGCTTGACACAAATTACAAGCTTCAGAACAGTACTAAGAAACACCAAAGGGTATCATAGCTTAGCATGCCAACACTGAGATAGATTTCATTTTAAAAACCTTAGCGTATCAACCATGCATGTCAATAGCTAATAATGCTAAGATAGATAGCGCCATCATTAAGTAGACTGATGGTGGCGAGTTTTTAGCAGCTACACAAAATGTGGCTAACGGCACCCTCTTCTTTTGATATCAACATTTGTGGTAACAGCTCACAACAGTTGAATCTAATAGGATGGTGCATTGAGAGACCGGTGAAAAAGTCAAGCTAGGGAGAGACCAAGATGTTGCATAGTCCTCCTTTATCTTACCAAGTGAAGGATGTTGTTTATGCCCTTGCTTGTGGACCTAGGAAGCAGGTTGAGCTTCCAAAGTGAAGGAACAGGTGCATAGCAGCAAGCTTGCATAGGTCCCTCCCTGGCAAGCACAACGCGTAACACACCCCACCCTGCCACCCCAGCATGGGCCTTTTTCCAAAAGGAAGAAGATCCTATAGCACAGATTGGGAAGGGGTATATTCAATGCCCAATTGTCCATTGTGGGATACTATGAGCACCATGAAAATTAATATTGTATTATGTATTATCACTAGCACCACGCCCTTTCTAGTGTGTTTCTCATCAAGTTACTTGGATCTCATGTAAGCAAGTAGAGGATGGTTTTATCGGACATGAGTGTTATCCTTGCCCATATTCGAATATTTCCATCTTTGCCTCCCTATTGAGCACATATATGGTTTTTGAGCACAAATATCGATTATAATATGCTTGATTAAGAGAGTAATGGACTGAGAGAGTTTATTGGAGGGAGCTAATTTTGCGCCATCCAGTGTGATCTTTATAACATGGCTTGCTCCCTGAGAAACTGCATCAAAGCTACAAGATCGCCCAACCTAGGTGTGGATCTTGCTCCAAGATCTCACTCCAATGCTTCTGGATTGGGATCCAGATCCTCGACTTTTGGGAATTGATTCTAGACATTTGAAGGGACAACAAGAGGCCAAGAAAATAATTCATTTGGATCTTAATTGCAATCTCTCTCTCTCTCTCTCTCTCTCTCTCTCTCTCTCTCTATTGGCTGTTGTAAATGTAAATTGCAAATAAAGCAGCTTGTTACGGTTTCGGATCTTGTAAAGTGTAAAATTGCAAATAAAGCAGATTTCTATAAATAAAAAATCAGGTCCCTCTTAATGTTATTCGTTCAATGTGCCTCATCATAATATTATTTTATTGTATTTATCAGTACATAAACTCATTGTTCAAAAAATCGGACCGCCTAGTGCCTAGGCGGTCCAGAAGGCTTGGGCGCATCGCCCAAGCCTAGGCGGCCAAATTGGGTGGCAATCCCTGTGTGGCCGCCTAGGGCCTGCACCCCACCTAGGGGCGGAAATTTTTTTTTTCATTGTATTGATTTTTTTGAAATATAAAGGGTTTAAAGGATGGGTTTTAGGTTCATTTGAAACCTAAACCTGCAAGAACCCATTTTAGAGAGAAAGAAACCTCAAGAAAACTAAATTTTGTAACTTTTATTGAATTGAAGCGTTTCTCAAAGTTACGAAAAACGGATCCAAACATCACCCAGGTAGATTTGATTTAGTTTTGGAGTTTTATAATCCTATTAGAGGGTGTTTTTTATTATTTTAGTACCAGAAAACATCTCAGAGGTGGGAGTTTGGAGTTCGAGCAATCAAAGTAAGTGCAAAACTTTATTTTTTAGATTGCTTGTTTAATTTTGAGATGTTTTCTTTAGGATCTAGTAGAAGTGGAGATCCTAGTTGGAAATATGTAAAAGATACAAAAGGGGGCATAAATCGGTTTAAGAAACATCTTGCAGGTATTATGGGGGATGTTGCCCCTTGTAAAAATGTTCCTAAAGTTATCAGAGAGGAGATTAAGCAATATATGAGTTCTGTAAAACAAAAACACGAACAAAATCCTCGTCATTTGAATAGATCTATTTCTGCTACTTCTAGAAGAAGTGATCCGGGTTGGAAGTATGGTTATAACGCAAAACCAAACGATAAAAATTATATAAGGTGTAATTTTTGTGAAAAAGATTCCAATGGGGGTATTAACCGATTAAAGAAACGCTTTGCTGGTATTAAAGGGAATGTTGCTTCTTGTAAAAAAGCTCCTGAAGCTATTTGGGATAAGATTAGACAACTTCTGAATTTAAAAGAACCAGAAAATGATGAAAACGAGCCTTGTTCTATGGAAATATCTTCTCCAAGTTCTTCTAAAAGTGGTTATCCGGGTTGGAAGTATGATTATAACACGAATCCGAATGACAAATCGTATTAAATATAATTATTTTTGAAATGATACTAATGGGGGCATTTACCCCGTGTAAAAATGTTCCTGAGGCTACCAAGGAGGAAATTATACAATATTTGAGTTCAAGGAAGCACAAAAAGATAGAAAAGGGTAGTGCAGCCAAGATCCCTAGAGCCTCATCTGCACATACTAGTAAGAAGGACGCAGAAGAAGAGGAAGAAGAGGCAGATTCAGAAGAAACAGATGAGGATGAGAGTTATATTGAAGAGGAAAATGACTCTGATCATGATGGCCTCGAATATGACGCATATGATGAAGCTTACCCTATTTCTTCTGATGACGATGATGATGATGATGATGACTGAAGACCCTTAGTGTTGAGTGTTGACTGTTGTGTTGAGTGTTGACTAGACTGTATATGTCTGAATTTCTGTATATTTTCTTTTTTTAATTTTTAGTTTATAGTTCTGCTATCTAACTTTTGTGTGTACAGTCTACAGTGCATCAGACTATCAATGTATGCTTGTATGGTTTTACTATTTTAGCATTGTATGAAAATATAGATTATGGTCTTATGGATTATCAAAATTCTCTTCTGGACTTCTATCTTTTTTTCTTTAACTGGGATTATAGTCTTATGGATTATCAAAATTCTTATGGATTATGATCTTACAGATTGTTAAAATTCTTATGGATTAATCATTATCAGTCATCATTTTTTTTTTTTTCAACTGGGCCGCCCAGGTTCTGAGCGCCCGCCTAGGCACTAGGCGGCCTAGACCCCCATGGCCGCTTGGGTGCCACCTAGCGCTTTTTGAAACATTGATAAGCTACACCTCGAGTTTTGATTTGGCGGGTGTTGGAAAAGAAAGACGAATCCAAACACTACGACGACTTGGTGAGAGATATATACAATGGCGAGCTAACTAGTGCATGAACAACTAGTGGAGAGACGAGTGAGTTTTCAGTGACAATAGGTCTACATCAAGGGCTAGCATTGAGCCTGTACCTCTTTATCTTAATTATAAACGACTTAACTAGACACTTACAAGATGAGGTACCGTGGTGCATGTTGTTTGCAAATGACATAGTTTTGATTGATGAAACTCAAAACAGTGTTAACAAAAACATAGAACTTCAGAGGGATACTCTAGGATCCAAAGGTTTTAAAATTAGTCAGACTACGACATAGTATATGGAGTGTAATTTTAGTAATAATAGGAGTAGGGACGAGGAAGTAGTCAAGATTGACGGCCAGGAAGTACAAAAAAGACCGCATTTTTGATATCTTGGATCGATAATACAAGAAAATTGATAGATCAAGGAAGATATCGCACACAAAATTTGAGCTGGGTGGGAGAAGTGGAGATGTGCAACTAGAATTTTATGTGATCGTCGCACACCAATAAGCTGAAGGGCAAGTTTTATAACACAACGGTGAGACCAGCTTTACTCTATGGGGCAGAATGTTGGGCAGACAAAAAACAATACACCCATAGAATGGGTGTAGCAGAGATGAGGATGCTGAGATGGATGAGTGGCAAGACAAGAAGGGATAGAATTCGAAATGAATCTATTGGAGAGAATTTAGGCATAGCACCAATAGGCGATAAAATGAGAGAGAGTAGACTTAGGTGGGCTGGCCATGTGTGGCACCAACCCAGTACAACACATGTTAAGAGGTGCGAGTTAGTTCAAGTGGAAGGACTGAAAAGGGTAAGGGGTAGGCCTAAACAGACGTGGTTGGAAGTAGTCCAAAACAATATGGGGACTTATGGCCTCACTGAAGATATGGCCTTAAATAAAGCAGAATGGAGAACCAGGATTCATGCAGCCGATCCCAATTATTTGGGAAAAGGCTAAAATGATGATGATGATGATGATTACATAAACTACATTTCAAGGGAATATGAAGATATTATTTATTAACTAAATAATATTTAGTTAATAACTAATATTTTTTTATAGCCTGTTTTTATTGTATTTTGTAGATTAGTTATTTTTAATTCAAATAAAATTTCTATTTTAAAATTTTTTTTATTAGTTAAAATTGTACTAAATGTGGCCCCGACTTGGGGAGACTTTTACATTAGGCGATCTGTCACTCCCACTCTTGTTCCAAGTAATTGTGAACTGCATAATCTTGGATCATGAGTTCATGAGGTAATCAATGAGTTTTTCCACTAGAACCTATGCTTCTTTGAAGAGGAGAAATGGATAAATTTGCAAAGGTTTGGTGAGCCTGCAAGAGCAAGGTACCAGTCAAAAACATTTTCAATTGTTTCTTCATTTTACGCACTAGATTCACTGTGATTGTTACTATGTTAACCAACCAAATAGAAGCAATTACCTGAGGCATGTGAACGCTAAGCTATGGCAAGTCCTAAGTTGGTCATGCTAGTTCCAAGCCTGGAGAAGGGATGAGGGCTGTGTTAAATGGGAAATAAGAAAAAAACTTTGCCACATCTTTTTATGAATCCTGAACCAATGTTATATGCTCATGCCAGGGCTTTCCCTGTAAACAACATGTTGTATAGACATAAAACTGAAGAGAAAGTTTTATAAGATGACTGTAAGATCAGACATGCTTTATGGAACGGAATATTTATCAATCAAGAAATAACATATCTATAAAATAAGTGTAGCTGAGATGATGTTAAGATGGATGAGTGTTTCCAGATTGAATACATCCAAGGGAACTTAGGGGTTGCTCCAATAGGAAATGAGGGAAAATAGACATAAGTGGGTTGGCCATGTGTAAGGTTGACCTAGTACAACACCAGTTAAGAGGGCGATTTGGCCTAAGTGGAAGGCTATAAAAGGGTAGGGGAAAGCTCAAAAGAACATGGATGGAAGTAGTGGGAAGAAATTTGGTGACTTTTGGCCTGAGTGAGGGTATGGCCCTTGATAGAGTAGAATAGCGGAACAAGATTCATGTAGCCAACCCCAAATAGTTAGGAAAAGGCTTGGATGATGATGAGATGTGTCGAATAGGCTATTCTTTCATAAAAAATGATCTATTATTACTATTGTTCATCATATTCCATAGTTTACACATTATAGTCCACTAACAAACAAAAGTTGTAGGTGCATTTTCTGACCACCATTTTTCTCTTAGGACAACCAGTTTTTTATTTAAGTTTATCAAATGCCCCAAATTTCTATTTTTCCATGGTCTTATCCTGATTGAAGCCTTCCTATAACCATTATAAAAAACAAAAATGTGACTGATGTACTAAAGATGACAGGGCTCAAGATGTAAGAGCTCGAATAACTTGATTCTCCAAATTACAGATTAATTAGTTGAACACAAGAATTGTAGTTCCATAACCACAATCCTAATCTCTAAATACAACCATGAAGGTAATGTCAACAATCCTCTAATTTATTCAAAATAATTAGATCCCCTATTAACAATATCCAGCTTCCCCTTTGGGATTGTTATGTAACTCCAAAGAAGGAGTTATACCTTGGTGAATTAAGGTTAGTTGACAACGACCAAGTTAAGAAAAGGCCATCAGCCAATCAACAACTAATAAATGGATGCAGTGGTATGACTATTACAAGTCAATAATCCCATAGGGAATCAAAATTAAGAAGGCCAAGTACACTCACGAAACTTGAACAAGTAAGGCAATGCCAGACAACCATTAGATTAATGTCGATAAATGGATAAGGTATAGTCTAGGACTTGCACTTAAATTGAACAAGAACAGAACTTCAATCAGGTAATCTATGGAGATCCATGACAGTAAGAACTTCTTGTTCCAAGCAAAGAAGTTTTAGCATAGTAATATAGATGTTGGCTTGCCTAAGCAAGCGTATGGCTTCTTGTGACTAGAGGTATCGGCTTATACTGGGTCCTATAAGAATCTATGTATATAAAGGATGATAAATAGAACCAATCCCTCCCTCCTTCCCTCCCTTCCTCTCGTGTTCCCTCTCATGTGACAAGAGACCTAGTATTGATACTAGGGCCTATAAGAATCTTTATATAAGAGGGACTAACACCTCTCTCTCTCTCTCTCTCTCTCTCTCTCTCACACACACACACACACACACACACACTATA